ATCTAAAGTGAGCACTATCTATGGCTTATTAAGCATTTACAAATGAGATATAAAGGCTGACAATGTCTCAAGACTCACAAAATGTTCAGTTATCTTAACAGACGAAGGAGAGACACAACACAAAGGGATACAGAACATATTGTATTGATATTTATTGCAACTTCCCAACATATTGTATGAAGACGAACAAGGGTGGTTTATGAAGACATGCTATTGTTGTGGTCTTCTCTGTTTGGGACGTGTACGTTGAGTGTTACATCATATTTATGTTAACTCTCAGAAGTTTCTGACAGTGCAGCCAAGGGGAGCATGGAGAAGCACATTGGAGTCGGCGGCCGTCAGCGGCACTAGTGGAGAGTATGTGTCTTTGTTTGATAGCACACATTATGGTTGAAAGATAACGCTTGTCACTTGACACTAACGACTAACGTTACTACCGTTACCGACCCGCCCGCGGTGGCTAAGCCGACCTGCCGCTGCTAGGCACTCACCTCGCCCGGCTAGACGAGACTAGGCTAGGTCGGCTTAGCCACCGCGGGCGGGTCGGTAACGTTAGTAACGTTACTAACATTAGTAACGTTAGTAACGTGAGTCGGGGAGCAAGGGCAAACACCTGCAGCTGCTGACAAGCTAACGTTATCTTTCAACCATAATGTGTGCTACCAAACAAAGACACATACTCTCCACTAGTGCCGCTGACGGCCGCCGACTCCAATGTGCTTCTCCATGCTCCCCTTGGCTGCACTGTCAGAAACTTCTGAGAGTTAACGTAAATATGACGTAACATCCCGCTCTCCGCACGTCATCACGTTGATGACGTGCTGAGAGCGGGAGCTCAACGTACACGTCCCAAACAGATAAGATCACAACAATAGCATGTCTTCATAAACCACCCTTGTTCGTCTTCCCATATGTTGGGAAGTTGCAATAAATATCAATACAATATGTTCTGTATCCCTTTGTGTTGTGTCTCTCCTTCGTCTGTTAAGATAACTGAACATTTTGTGAGTCTCAAGGCATTGCCAGCCTTTATATCTCATTTGTAAATGCTTAATAAGCCATAGATAGTGCTCACTTTAGATAAGCTCGTGCAAAATACTTAATTAAGGAGTAGTAAGTGCTTTGTAACTGTGAATTCCTGCATTAATAACTGTTTATAGGCCATCATTAGAAAATGAATTTGTTGTGGGTTTTATAGGACATCTGCTAACACAGTCACTAATCATTAATACATGTCTGAATAGTGGATGTGCAAGTGCATGCAGAAATGTACAGTACAATGGAGAGTAAAACATTTATAACTGTGATTATAAACCACATAGTAATGACTATTTACAGCAGAATCATGCTTTATAAATGATGAATTCAGTATTTACTAATCCATAACTAATGTGCTTATCAATGATGAATAAAACATTTTTAACTGTGTTTATAAACTACATACTAATGTGTATTCATGCGTTATAAATGATGAATTCAGTATTTATTCATGCTTAACTAATGCTTAATAGTGTGTACTCATTATAAAGTGTTACCCAAAAAGATATTGATTATTTATCATAACAATGAAGAGCAGTCTAAGTAGTTCTCAGTGAGTCCACCCAGCTCAACGTACCAAACTCAGAGAAAAATGTGATCAATGTGAACGTTTAACTTGCAGCTTCCAGCTCTGAAACGTATCTGTGAGACCTCCAGTTGTGGGTTAGTAGTCTTTAGCCTAACTCATTGCTCTAACTATTGCTAACTAGTGTTAGCTTTTCACAGTCTGCTGTGAAGAGTGAAGAGAAGACGTTGAAGTAACATTGCATAAACCTTTCATTTCTTTTCTGTGGCAGCTAACACACACACACACTAACTATTATACTGCAACCTGGGCGTATCCTCTCACTGTATGGCTGACTTACAAATATATTTGTGAGAGAAAAATAGAGGGGGTATTACAGGCTCACAGTGGGGCATCCACAGCACTGGTGTCTGTGTATCTACTGTGCTCATATTGTAGACAAACTTCTATCTATCTATCTATCTATCTATCTATCATTTTTCTATCTATCTATCTATATATATATATATAAACTCCTTCTTAAAAAGCCCACACTTGACCCAGGGGTTTTAGCCAACTATAGACCAATCTCTAACCTCCCCTTCCTCTCTAAGATTCTGGAGAAAGTAGTCGCCAACAGTTGTGTGACTTTCTACATAACAATAGTTTATTTGAGGATTTTCAGTCAGTCATTTTCAGTATCAAATTGTCATTAAAGGAACCGCACTAAGAAGAGATGATGCACATGATACCCAGTTATACCTGTCAATCAAGTCCAATGAAATGAATCAATTATCTAAATTACAAACATGTCTTAAGGACATAAAATCCTGGATGAGCTCCAATTTTAAGATTCAGAAAAGTTCTTGTACTTGGCCCCAAAAACCTTAGAGACTCACTGTCTAATGATATAGCTACTCTAGATCCCCCCCCTCTCTTTTTTTCTCTCTCTCTCTCTCTCTCTCTCTCTCTCTCCCACCCACCTAGAGTCGGGGTCTGTCCGACGTTTCTGCCTCTTAAAAGGCAGTTTTTCCTTGCCGCTGTCTCCAAGGTCTTGCTCATGGTGGTACTGTTGAGTCTCTGTAAATAATGTTATTAAGGAGAGTTTGGTCTAGACCTGCTCTATTTTAAAAGTGTCCTGAGATAACTTCTGTTATGAATTGGCGCTATACAAATAAAATTGAATTGAATATATGAGGAAGTTGTTATCAGTGTCTTCTAAGTTCCCAAGAACAGGAAGAGCAGCATATTATCAAGACACATATTTTGTTCATTTTCAGTTCATGTTACACAGTTTTGATTTGGCACCTTCATAGTTAACAGAATGTTCATTTGCTTTCATTCTACTTTACGAGGAAAAATGTTCAGCAAGTTATTCTACATTGTTCAGATTCTCCACATATCACTAACCATAGACAGTCGGCCCTCGGTGCACACCACACAAACTGCATAAAACTGGTAAAATTTAGATTTTAGTAAATAACAGTAACAGCCTGTAGCACATATTTTTCTCTCCTCTGTCTGTCTGTGTCTTCCAGGGCTGTTTGGTGAAAAGTGAAAGTAAAAGTGAACTATTCATTACATTTGATGAAGGCCAACAGGCAGCAGGAATTCCAGCTCAGAAAGATAATTTGTTCATATGTTCACAAAATGAACTTTTTGTAACGTCTCTGAGCTCCAGTTCAGACAATATATGGGTGTGATGGCTCTCATAGACGCATATCATGTTTCAACTAGACAATAATTATCTCATCTCTCAGTCAAGGTTTAGTTACGGCCCTGTAATGTGAGATTTAATGCAATGGATTGACATTGACTATTGATTAAGCATTGACTTTAAATGTTGATTAGCTGGGCATACTGGGCAATATGGATGCACATCTCTGTCACTAACAAACGTTTACTGCCAATGATGCAGACTGAAGGCGGGCACTGTGGGAGGGAAAGGGTGAGCACACTGTCTGTATCTGTGTATTTGCGAGTAATGTATTTGAGGAAGTTGTTATCTGTCTTCTAAGTTCCCAAGAACAGGAAGAGCAGCATATTATCAAGACACATATTTTGTTCATTTTCAGTTCATGTTACACAGTTTTGATTTGGCACCTTCATAGTTAACAGAATGTTCATTTGCTTTCATTCTACTTTACAAGGATAAATGTTCAGCAAGTTATTCTACATTGTTCAGATTCTCCACATATCACTAACCATAGACAGTCGGCCCTCGGTGCACACCACACGAACTGCATAAAACTGGTAAAATTTTGATTTTAGTAAATAACAGTAACAGCCTGTAGCACATATTTTTCTCTCCTCTGTCTGTCTGTGTCTTCCAGGGCTGTTTGGTGAAAAGTGAAAGTAAAAGTGAACTATTCATTACATTTGATGAAGGCCAACAGGCAGCAGGAATTCCAGCTCAGAAAGATAATTTGTTCATATGTTCACAAAATGAACTCTTTGTAACGTCTCTGAGCTCCAGTTCAGACAATATATGGGTGTGATGGCTCTCATAGACGCATATCATGTTTCAACTAGACAATAATTATCTCATCTCTCAGTCAAGGTTTAGTTACGGCCCTGTAATGTGAGATTTAATGCAATAGATTGACATTGACTATTGATTAAGCATTGACTTTAAATGTTGATTAGCTGGGCATACTGGGCAATATGGATGCACATCTCTGTCACTAACAAACGTTTACTGCCAATGATGCAGACTGAAGGCGGGCACTGTGGGAGGGAAAGGGTGAGCACGCTGTCTGTATCTGTGTATTTGCACTGACTCTATGTTATGTAATGCTGTTTTGTATTTGTGTCAAAAAAGAGATTCTGCATAATAATAAATTCCAATTAACATCAAGGCTGTAAAACTCAATGTAACCTCATTCAATGCAGTGTTTTCATTACATTTACTAAAATGAGTGCAGTACAGTGCAAATGTTCTCTTTGTATACTGCTGCTGTAATGCTGTCTGTTTGGATCAGGTACTCTCAGAACAGGTTCTCAGGTCCAGTGGATTTTGGGTGTGTTTTCCACAGGTCTGTTTTGGATCAGGTTTTACATTTTGGACAAATGAATTTCTCCAAAGAGGAGCGCAGCCTCTCATCCATGTGCTTTAAAACCAAAACTAAACTCAAAGGTTACATTTAGTTTCTCTTCCTCATTTAAAATAATTGTATTATCTATCTTAGTGAAAACAGAAGTGTTTTAGTACAGTGGTTCCCCATCTTCACACAGTTGTTGTGTTCACTGTTCACTGTACTGTTATTGCTAATGAAAATAATATGAAATATATAGAAAGTATGTCACTGAGTCTTAATGAGAACCATTGTTTGAGTGTTTCCGTACGTAACGTAAGCGTGTGGTATTATGAAACTGGCACATGGTCACAGTTTTACAAATTGGTGCACATCAGAGGGCTGATACAGGAAATGTGATTTTCCACTGAACTTTGCCTCAGGCGATGCGTCTGCTGTGAATAAAAGCGCTGCAGAGGATTCCAGTTTGAACTCAACACCACAACTACAACATCAGCTGGAACTGCAGCAGGGACTGTGAGCGAGGTAAGACAGGCCTGTTTTATGTCAAACATGTTAATATCATAGTCACAGTTCATAAAACTGATACTGAGATGTAACGGTCAAAGTAAGCTTCACCAACACTCTGTGCTGTTTATATTAACAGGATTGTCCTACATGAATTGACAGTAGATCATCATTTTCCATCTAACCCAGAAAGCATTAGCTTTTAACAGCTTGGATCTGTCACACAGGCTGTTGTGGGTCTTTTTAACTCTACTTCCTTCTGCCATTTTACCGTAGTACTGAAAGTAAACAGGAGATGTTTGCGTCTAAAACTAAAGCACTTGTGAAGAATCTGGGCGCTGAGGGCGACCTCATCGATAACGACAATGTGAACGAAAAAATTGAGATGCTGACTCTGGTCAAAGTCAGACAGAGAAGATTCTGGCCAGTAATCAAGTACACGACCACGGACCTAACACTGCTCGACCTCCTGGAGGAACCAAACTATTCACCAGGTGTGTATGCTCTCACACACATCACAATAATACCACTACATATGAATGCTTCATTGTACAGAAGCGTATTGCATTCACTTGAAAAACAAAAAGTAATTTATTTTTTGTTTTGTTTTTTTGAATATTTTTTTCTGTTTTTCGGAGTAGTTTTATTTCTGAATTATTGAGATACTTCGAACTCCTGCGAAAAGCTCCAACCTAGTGACTCCCATGGACCTATGGTGACTCCTGCCCACAGGAGAGTCGACAAACTAATGATAACACCATCTATATAACTTAAAGACAGGACTATCTCCCAGTGTCTTAAACCAGATCAAAGTAAAACTTGATTGAACTAAACAAGCCGGTTATGTTTGTTTCCGTTAAATCGAGATCTCAATAAAGGAAATAATGTGTCTATTGTTTCAAATGCTCTCTAAACTCAGAAAATAAATTAGTCCAAAAAACAGAAAAAAACTTTTTTCAGAAAATCTGAAAAAAATTACTCAAATTCTTACTCACTAAATTTCCAAGTGAATGCAATACGATTCCGTATCATTGCAAGTAATTCCTGTATTAAAGTAAAAGTACACCAGTATTATCAGCTTCATGTAGTAAAAGTATGTGTACAGTAAATATGTCTAAAGTTGCATAAAATAGGAATACTCCAGTAGGTATGTCAGAATGAAATACTTCCACCAGTTCTACGTTTGAAACTGACCCTTCTCCTTCCAGAATACACAGAGGAGGTTTTGGCTGAGGATTTTAACAATCTGATACGCATATGTGGGAATGGCAGTGTTGGAGCAGGAGCACATGATGTCGAATTGAAAGCCAGTGCAGAAACAGACACTGTGGACGGAGTGTCACCCATCACTCTGAAGAAAAAGACAGTGGACATCGAAAAACTGAGGAAGAACTACACAGACAAGTAAGTCAATCTCTGGCTCTGATAGAAACTTTATTTATGTTTTTATTTCTACTTACAAAAGACATCTATGAGAGTATGGACTGTAAATAAGAGTTTACCTTAAAGTTATGATGGAAAATAGAACAGATGTTCATGAAATTAACCAGTTTCTTAAACTTTTACCACCATCTTGCTGTTTCACTGGCAACAGGCAGCATGGAATCCAGTATCAGTGTTTATAATCTGATCTGACTAATATCAGTCTCACCTGTGCTGCAAAGCAAGTCCAGCCCACCCAGAAGATCTATTCATGCCAAAAAGGTGCTCAAATAGTGGTTACAAATATTTACTGAAACCCCATCCCAGTCGCTGTATATAAAAGCCTATAAGAAACAAATTCATATTAAAAATGAATACTAAAACATGTGCTAGATATAGTGGATATTTAACATAAAAAGAATAAAAGAAAGCATTTCTTTTAACGGCTGTGACAGGCAGACTGAAACTGAAGTAAAGTATGAAGCTTCATTGCTTCAAACAGTCTGTTTTAGGAGGATTCAATCCATCTTCTTATGGCTGTATTATTAGAATTTACCCAGTGTAAAAACGACTCTGGTCACCCGGGAAACATTTTTCTAGTTCTAGACTAGTGATGTTGATTGAATGTTCACATTTACACCACATTGCATTAGTTAAATTTTTCATCCTTGGAAATGTGCAAATAATTTCCTGTTGGCACTTTGGAGCCTTAAACCACATCCAGATTCCTCAGCTGAAAGCCGGTATTAGTTAATAGGTTAGGTGTTCAAGTCACCATGGCCATGTACCCCAGTGTACGACCACTGCAGTAGGACAATTAATCCTTAATTTACCTCATAAAATAATGCTGCTTCGTAGCCCTCTGTTCCCTCTCCTACAGCTGTAACAGAGCTACACTGAGTTACTGCGTCACATTAAAACCTTTATTCACAAACACCATAGCTACATGTGACTTGTGTACTAGGCTGAAATGACATGTAATGTAGCATGGGGTCTTAAATATGTTTCCATATTCAGAGATTTGTGTCCAATATTGTTTTCTGTTCTATATTCTCGAGTTTTACTGAATCTTCTCAGTTTTCATTAAAATATCTCCCTCCCATCTGTTTTCTGATTCTCTTCCCAGGAAGGTAAAGAAAAAGTTTGTGGACATGCTTAAACTGAAGGAGGATGAAAAGCTGACTTTTGTCTACCAGTCAGTCTACAACACTACGCCGGTTAAGTTTTTTGACATTGCCATAAACCAGGGCTCTACGTCAGCAGCATTTAAAATATACTTCCAACTGTGTGTGACGGTGAGTGTTTGACCCTCTGAGACAAAATGAGAATAACTGACTCATAAAGTATATATAATGTACAGTATATATAATGTACCGTATATATATAATGTACAGTGTATATAATGTACCGTATATATATAATGTACAGGGTATATAATGACAGTATATATAGTGACAGTATATATAATGTACAGTTTATATAATGCACAGTCTATATAGTGACAGGGGGCAGCTCCAGAGATCTCTATACATACAACCCTATGTACCCTGGACTGTTAACCTGTTTATGTGACCCCTCAGCAGTTTAACCACTGAATGATCTGAATGGGAACTGAGAGAACGGTGTGAAAGACACATATGTGACTCAGTTAAAGTGATCTGTATGTCACTGAATCTCATGTATCTTATTAGGATTGTTTACTGCTGTATTCCTGAAGTGGAAATGGGTCCAGAGTTCTGATCCTGCTTTGTTCTGTCTGTATTTGTTCCTTCAGGGCAAAAAGAAAGAGAAGACAACCTTCATTGTTCCAGAAGAATCCACCTTCGCTTACAGTCTAATGGAGATAACAACTGAGGATGGGACCCTGGGTGAGATACAGCACACTGACTCTAACTTCAGGGTCCTCACTCTTCCTTGATAAGTCAGTCATATCATTTACTGCTAGGCCCAGCTTTGACTTTAACTACAGATTTATTCATTCCTTAATGAAGTGTCCCAGGTTCATTACAACGCTGAAAAGATCACTGCTGTTCCACTCTGGTGTGAACAGCTACACTGACTGACTTTCTGTAATGAAAGAGAGCGTCTGGTTAAACCACTTTTTAAGTGTCACAACTAAATATGGTTTATGTAGGCCGTGTGAGTGGGGGCTGAAAAAATAAACACTTTCAGGACAACATTGATTATTTCCAGGATATTTGGTCATTTTAATAATTTTCCAGGTGTTTCCATGACTGGAAAACTAGTCACTAAATGTCTAAGATTCTGATTAAGATTGTCCAGAACTGGTGTCCCTTGTTTGTTTCTAATATCTGATCTGGATCTGAACATCTGAGGCCTAAACTATGAAGTCATTTCAACATACGCAGGATATCTTCATCTGGCTTCACTAACCCTAACAACGCTGGTTATGAACTCGCTATGTCAACCCAGGATTCCTTGTCAGATAAGAGCACAGTGTCCAATCAAACACGAATAAGTTGCAGCACAGACGCATATTTTACAGATGAAGAGCAAACTATAATATTACATAAATACAAACAAGTTATACACAGTCCAGGCTAAAAGCAACATAGCTCCTGCTGCTAAATGCAAGAAACAGGGGCGAGATGCATGAAACTGCTTTATTTTGTTCCGACATATAACGTGTAGCAGGTCTCTATGCTACTGTGGGTTCTTGCAGCACACAATCTCACACACTGGGTCGTTGTACCAAACAACTTTTATTTAAAGCGTGGCTCATACAACACACAACACACAACTGCATAGGGCTCTCGCTCTCAGTTAGCTCTCCACCACCCAGGTCCAGGTCCAGGTCCAGGTCCAGCACACTACTGCAATATAAGGGAAGAGTGATTACACTACTCTCGCAAGCCATCCCCACACCTCTCTCTCCTGCAGCTGGGTGTAAACCACACCCACCTCCACGAACTGTCTGTCTGTGTGTCTGCCTGTCTGTCTGCCCTCAATCAACCAAATGAATCAAATGTAGGTTTATAAATGAGCATACACAGATCTCAGTGTAGACTGATAATAATGTCTGTTTCACTCTCAGGAATCCCTCCAAGAACCAGGAATGTGAGACGTTATAATGAAGGTATGTCTGTTCTGTTGTTTATTTCCCATCTTTACCTTCAAACTGATATTGTTGTTCTTCATCAAATGAACATATTAATTGTATCACACAAACATCTGTGGACCATCAAAACCTTTGAAGAATGGTGGCGCTTCAGCTCAGACGGCGAAGGCGACTGTGAGACCTTCCAACGGGTGAAAGGAGGTCAGTTTGAGTGTCTACGTGTGTTTGAAGCTTTAATACTTTGGATTGTAGAAATGTTGATTCTCTAAATGTTCAGTTAAAGCTGCAATAATCAGGTCCTCACACTTGTGTCAAGGCCTGCGCCAGCATCATGTGTAGAAACCTGTTTCCAGTAGGGGGCGCTATGACTATGACTGAATATTGGCATGTAGATGTGTTCGGGGCGCGGCTCTGATCAGACAAATAAAGTTTGGGGGAGATTGGATAAAGTACTCTGAAGTTAAGATTATTTCCTATTTCATACTGATTTGTTGGAATTCCACACCGAGCCGCATCGTTTATGTACAAAGAGCACAACTTTTAATCCTGATGGGCTTTAGATTGCACTGACCGAGTCTGAAGTCAGTCAATCCAATCAATACTTCCTGTTGGGTCATATTTTATTTACAGAGACCCAACAGTACCACCATGAGCAAGACCTTGGAGACAGCAGCAAGGAAAAACTGCCTTTTAAGAGGCAGAAACCTAGAACAGACCCTTCGACTCTAGGTGGGTGGTCGTCTAACCTCGACCACGTACCCGTATATTTCCCTCACTGACAGTAGCTACTGGAGACAACCTGGAGTTAGTTAGCATCACCACAGCGAGCTTGGTTATGTTGTGTACTGTAGAGTCGTGTGTTGGGTGGAGGTCTGGAGAAAGTTTGGGACTGAGATGAACCTTATAGCTGAGATCACATTGGTGTCGCCACTGTCTGTTTCCTGTAGAGATTAAGATGAAAGAAGTTCTCCTGCAGCCTCTGGCAGATCTGTCTGCGCCGACCCGTGATGTTCTCCTGAAAACACTCCATATGATTGTGGAGACCAGGAACGATCTCTCTCTGCTGGTCAGTCACAACTGGAAACCTGTGTGGAGTGTCTTTATGTGGAGGGTCTTTGTTTGGAGAGTCTTTATGTGGAGGGTCTTTATGTGGAGGTTTCTGTCAGTCAGTCGTGTGTTGGGTCTCCAGCCTGCTGCACTGCTGCACTGAATGTAACTTGGACAGAACTATAATGTCCCTCCCCCCTCCAGGTGGATCAGCTCAGTACGGGAGCGTCTGATGGTCCGCAGTCTCAGCACGTCTCCTCATTCATGGACCTTCTCAAGGCCTCCAACGCCTCGACCGCTCAGAAGGACGCCATTGACCTGTTGGTCAGCGCGATGGACAGTGAGTCAGCTAAACTGGTCCCAGTGTGGTTTAACTACATTTCCCAGCAGCACTAGGGGTCGATATTTAAAAATCAAGTAGCGTTTTCAGTTGCAAGAAAAAGTGTGTGTGTGTGTGTGTGTGTGTGTGTGTGTGTGTGTGTGTGTGTGTGTGTGTGTAATGCATCAAAGTGTGTAATCTTCTATAAACTATATCAGTGTTTCTCAAATGGGGTAAACGTCCCCCTAGGGGTACTTTGGAGTACTGCAGGTGTACTTGAATAACAAATATCAGTCAGTGTGTAATTCATAAAATAATAATATAACAGCTTAAATACACAATGTGAGTATGATATATATGTGTCTGTAGTTCTCTAGCAAGAGTGAACATCCTCACTGAACTGTCAATCAATGTAACTAATACTGTAGCATTTCTATATGGAACAGTAACAAAGGTGTAGCTATTAGACTGCAACACCACATCAACACTGCACATTAAATATATATGTAATCCTAATATGAGCACCTGGCCTCCACATATACATACATAACTACTGACCCATGACACTGAACAGCAGCACGGCACTGAATACAGCTGCTCTTCATGATGCCTTTCTTTCTCTTTCTGCAGCTCTGCCAGACTCTGTGCCTGCACTGCTGACCACCTGCAGTCCTGATACTCTGAGAGTCCTGAACCAGCTGGTTGGTCCATTCACTCACCATCATCTGCATGCATGTCTACGGCATGGTGTCATTACAGCACTGTTTAGGAACTGTCTCTCTGTCTCTTCAGGTGAGCAGTCTTGGCAAAGAGGCCAAACTCCCAGAGTCACTGCCTCCTCCCCTGCAGGAGGAGGGGAAGCTCCGCTGGGCAGCCGAGCTCCTCTGTTCCACCGGCGGCACCCTGCAGGAGCTGAATGAGCAGTGGTTCAGACCCAAGCTGCCAGCAGGAGCGCTGCTGGAGGTGCTGTGCCTCGTCGTGCGGGGACTCAGCATCATACAGCACATCATGTAGTAAAAGAAATAACATCAGCTCTGATCTCAGAATCACAAAGATTAACCCCTGTATCATTTATCAGTTTCAGTTCCCAGGTGTTTATGTGTGGTGGTTTGTATGATACTGAAGTTAAAAAGAGTCAGTGGAACAAACATCCACTGTATATACCTCCTGGAAGGCTCCTCTTGGAATAGAAAGGAACTGTACTTAAAGCAACATTATGTAAGATTTGGTATTTGTGTGGTTTGGGGCCCAGATGAACAACAGCTAATATTTCTGATCACAGCAAGAAGGCAGCTCGCCATCCGTCAACGTCCTCTGAGCTCTCTGAGCCTCTGACATTAGCCCGGTTACACTGCCCAACACCCGGTCCCGGGTAGCACGGCTAACTTAAGTAGCTAACTAGCTTCAGTGTCCATCAGGAAACTGTAAAGTACAGAGAGTTGTGGTGTTAGAGCCGTAAAGAGGCACAGACACCCTGTTAGTCAGCGTAACATCAGGATGATACTGTAGCTACAAAAGTTCATCATGTTGCTTTAAGTACAACTTTGAGGTAGAGTACTTGAACCTGAGTATTTCCTTTCTGTCTTGTGGCCTTTCACATAGAATCAGTGAAGGATCCTGTTTGTCTCTCTCTGTATTATCACTGCTATACAATCACTGCGCTGACTTCAAGGGAATTAATACTTGCTTATATCTTATGTTATGTATCTTTATCTTAATGATGATTTGGTGTGCATTAACCTTTAAATCATTTTTTTGTTTGAAAGGTGGTATATAAATAAAATGTTCTTTATTGATTCATACACTTACATCTCAGAAGTTTATTAAAATGTTAAAATCACCTCAGAGCATTGAACAAGGATCAGGGAGGGATTAAGACAAGCTCACCTACCTTCTTGGTGGAGGTGGTTGTGGCTGCATGCAGTTTGTGTGAGGACCTGCAGACATTACTCAGGGCAAATAAAACCCCTTCACTCCTCCTTTTCGGGTATAAATATCCCTGAGCTCTTTTCATTTACAGATCATTCTGCTAAAATGATACTTGAGCTGATCGTCAAACAAAGTGCAGTACCAAAGAGAGCTTTGGTAGTAGAGACACAAATAAAACTTTATTTATAGTTAAATAGCAGAGTACACCGTAGGGTATGGACAGGAATGTGTTAAAAAGGTTAAATATTGTCATGTAGAGTCAGCACAATGCCCCCCCGGTGGATAACAGAATGAGCCACGTTAACTAAATGGATTCATGCAGGTACCCTGAGCCCAGCGGAGGTGCAGAACTCTTGTTTTCTGAGTCTCTTGAATTACAATATACTATAAAATAGAGAGACACGTTCAGTTCTTTGCTCTGTGTACACAACTGAGTTCAAGTCTTATCTCTTCTGTTTCTCGTTTTACGGTAAATGTTTTCACCAAGTTTCTCTTGAACCAAAGAGCCCCCCCTCCCTGTTACACTATCTGAGCCCCATCCTCTGTCTCACTGACTCTGGAGATTCTCCAGTTCCAAATCCCACAGCAACACACATACTGGAGGAGATTAAAGACTCGTGGGGAAAACAAAAAGAGGTTCAGAGAAGCAGCAAAAACAAGATATTGATGAATATAATTTGTCAACAACAGAATCTGGGGATAAAAACAAACTATGAACGTAAAGAAATCCCTGAGTATGGGGGACGATTAGAAAACAGCAAATGAACTGGAAATATTCACTCAAGAAGCAGATATTAATGCTTCTGTTTTCATGCAGTCTTACAAAGTATGAAATATGGAATATCATCTGGGTCTAATACCCTGTACAGTCTCACATATCCTGCCTCCTTCAATAGTTAGCAACAGAGTGAGGAAGTTGGACAATGTTTATTCATATGTGTTAAAGCTAAATGCTAATCAAATCAAATGAATTAGCTTTGTTGAATTCATGGTTTGTTTTCATGGACCTGAATTCAATGACAATGTGTTCAACAACATGGTGACAGAACCAACATGAAACACTGTGAGACGTCACACAACTTGTAGTTTGTCTGTTCTGGGCTGCTGTAGATTCACAGGGAGATTGTTGTGATCTAAAATGCTGTAAAATGATTTCACAGCAGCTTTTCTAACAAATTGCTTTGCATGTGATGATTTTAGATGAAATGTGATGAAATTGTGGGAGAACATAAGATGTTTGCAGCTCACATTTCACAGTAAAGTACAATGATTGGTTGAATTTGCATTCATTGTTGCAATTGCGAGTCATTTGAACAAAAACACAAAGATTGTGATTTCCAGCTGATTGTAAACTAATGAAAACACAACAATGAGTATATATTAATGTTACACATTGCAGAAGTCATGTTTACTCTTGTTGATTTGTGATGGACAAGGTTCAGATTAATATTTACTCTGGCAGTTTTAATCAGTGACCAGCTCTCGTCTTCTAGAAGGTTGTATGAACAGAAACACAAGCTATTTAATTTGAATGTAAAGGGGCAGTCTGGTGAGCAGCACATCGCCAAGTGAATTCTGATTGGTTGAGTTCAGATGACGGGAGGGAGAAAGAGGTACAAAGTGGTGAACAGAGCTCAGTTCAAGAAGTGCTGAACATCAGGCTGTGGATCAAAGCTGGAGCAGAAGTCAGGTAAGATTTCACCTCCTCTCTTCACTGGTCCTGGACCCCGAGGGTCTCTGTGGGTAGGACCAACAGATCTTATGTACAGTGGTATAGACATTTAAAGGCAGCACACACAGGAGACATACGATGTGCATACGCATGTGAGAACATGTGCACCCATTGTTTTCTATGTAAAGCTGCACACTAATATACTGACAGCATTACATTCACTGAAGCCTCGGGGCTATGCTACTGTATGCTGGCTGTCTGTTAAACCAGTATAGCAGAAATTCATTTAAAGTAATAGTTTTGTGGTGTTTTAGCTTTCAATAAGACTCAAAGTAATGGACAGATATTTCATTCAGTTCAGTTCAGTTTTATTTGTATAGCACCGATTCATAACAGAAGTTATCTCAGGACACTTTGCAATTAGAACAGGTCTAGACCGGTCTATAGTTAGCTAAAACCCCTGGGTCAAGAGTGGGCTTTTTAAGAAGGGGTTTAATTACAGCTACTTTAAAGGACTGTGGCACATATCCTGATAATAAAGAAAGATTAATCATATCCGGTAAAGAAGTGCCAATTAAGGGTACGACTTCTTTAAGCAGCCTAGTTGGGATCGGGTCTAAGAGACAGGATGATGGCTTCCATGTAGAAATGATTGAAGTCAATTGATGAAGATAACTAATAAACAGTCTATTAATATATATCTGAGTTTACAGGTGTTAAGGTTCCTGTGTTTGAGGAGACACTGTTACTGGATATAATGGTCTGGTACTAACAGTAAAAGCCTTTAAATCTAATAAAGACTGTTTATTGTATCTTTTGCCCTACAAGCCAAATTTCTCATTACTCCAAAGTGAACTCAAGCTGCAGAGTGTAAGTGCCGCTGTAACTCTACTGGAGCTCTGAAGGCACAGTGACCTGCAGAAACAACAACAATGGTGAAGTGGACTGGTGAGGCACATTAACACTCTGGTCTCAATCAATGTGATAAAGTATGAGAGTGGACAGACTACGTACAGGGTAATCTGTACTGTACATACACTGAGTGCAAACAGCATTTCCCATAATGCCCTCACACTTTGAGACTCCTGCAGTGGTTTATAGGACCAAGATAGATTTCAGTTTACTCCTCCAGTAACAGATCTATCTTTGTGTCATTATCAGGTATGTCATATACAAGGCACCCAAACTGAAAAACCAGTTCACTGGTTTGGAATATATTTACGCTGATTCCGCTGGAGAGAAGTATGTGGCCTCCGGGACTGACCCTAAGTTAATCAACAACCCTGAAGGTGTCCTGGCAAACACCCTGCAGCCCCTTTTCACAAAGACCAGAATGATGGCGAGAATCATTTTCAACCTTCATCCCTTTGTTTCTGTGACTCTAACAGGGTGCTAATCAAAGTTACACAATGCTAATGAATCTTGCAGTTTGACTGTTCACACGTAGTAATATCATTACCTTCAGGGCAGGTCTATTTGCATATAGAGAGAACTAGAACTAGCTAAGCCAATGCTAGCTGAGCTAACACTATTTAGTTGGCTTCAAACAAGGCTTCACTTTATTGTTCCTCAGTATTACATTAGTCCAGTGGTTCTCAAACTTTTTCGGTCATTCCCCACTTTGGACAAGGGGGAATTTTCAAGCCCCACCTGCCCCCATCGCCCATACACAATGCTAATGAAATACGGAACAAGCTTAAAATGTTCCAATTTATTGAAGTAACAAGTTGTATCTAAATACAAACTAACTATCTACATCAAATAACAGCAAGTTCAAAAATAAAGAAAATAAAAGTGCAGCTGTGTCAAAATTTGTATCAAGTTCAAAAATAGAAAAGAAATAAAAGTGCCACTTTGCAATCTGTTAAAAAAAGAGTTTGTTCCGCTACAATTAAGATGCCAACGTCACGTCAATCATTATTTTGGCACTTCGGTTCCAGGTTACATTTTTCTCAGGGTCTCATATCTGATGTTCTTTTAATTTAGACTGCATGTAGGCTAGTAATGATTACTTTGTTTGTTTGTGTTTTGTTTGAATGTATGATCTTTGTTGTCATTAAAGAAAGGCATTGATAAAGCAGACATCCCAACCTGCAAGGATGGGATGTCAGGGAGGTTCGTTCCGGGGGGGTGAGGGTGGGGAGGGGTATTCCTGTTTCACTTGGTGTCACCCCCGGGGGTGATCGGCCTAATAAGTGGCAACACAGAGCTATAAGGACGGTTTGCTGTCTCACGCGCTGCATTTATAGTCACACAAACACACACACACACACACAAACACGCAGTCACTCTCTAGTCTAGATTGCTACAGATTCCAGGAGATTGGATCTCATTTGCGGGCGTCAAGGAGCCGCTATCAATATGCAGGAGACTCCCGGAACTTTTGGAACTTCTTTTAGACAGTTGGGATGCCTGGATAAAGATATAAAGGCATAAAAAGGAAAATTTCCTCCCGTTTGGCGTGCCCCACCTGTCACGTCTCTATTCCCCACACTTTGTTAGACACATCCTAT